AATCCTAGTTTTTTAGCAAATGATTTTTGAGTTCCAGCATATGTTGAGTCCAGGTCAGTTTCTCATCGACGGTCATTCCCAGTAACCGTGATTTCGATACCCATTCAATCGTAGAATTTCCGATAAAGATCGGGGGAATGTTAACCGGGGGATTTCTTCTAGAGATTAGCATGGCCTCACTTTTACTTGGGTGGGGTGGTAATCTGTTAATGAGGCACCACTCGTTTAATTCACGAAGTGCAGAATTTAACTTGGCAATACTTTTTTCTGCCGTGTCACTTATGCAGTAAACCCGTTGTGTCGTCGGCAAACATATAGACGGATCCGGAAGATACTGAGGACTGAAGATCGTTCGTGAAGAGAGTGAAAAGTGTCCGCCCTAAGACAGACCCTTGAGGAATTCCAAAAGAGATCGGTATCATCTCTGAAGTTGATCCATTAACAGCTGTTGATCCATTAACAGCGATTTTCAATATGAAAAAATTATTTTCAATTGTCAGCCCTCCCACTTTTCACCTTGCTCCGCGGTCCCTGGAGTGCCCAGGCCTCATTTTCCTGGCCGCGCGTTGATCTGGCCCGGCTGCTTCGGCGAGTATATTCTCGGTCTGTTTGGATTATATCCTTCGAGTTTGTCAAAGTCTGTTGGATTTGTTTCTCTATCTGGGAAAGTTTCATTGGTTTCTATATCTGCTGCTATCCTATTTCTACGATCCTGGCATGTTTTTTTTCCGTTGGAGTTTGAATTTTGTGGAAAAAGTTGTGTTGAATGAGAGCATGTCGGCAAAAATGGCACCTCGTGTTTCCTACCTTGTATATTATATATTATTGTAGATAGAGTGAATTTGAACAAATTACTGCAAATTATCACGAAACTTCGTTGGAGCAATAAGGACAACAACAATTAACTGCAGAGTAAGTTTTATTGATCTTTATTTAGTATTGCCTAGAAATTTTAGCATGATAGTTTTACCCCATACAAACACTGTAATTTTACTGGAACCGTACTGTGGTACTATCACAGAGCCTGGGTTACCTGTGACTACACCACAACTAGTAAGGACAGAAAGGGACTAATATGGACCTAAAAGGACTAGTAAGGACAGAAAAGGACTAGTTAGGACGGAAGAGGACGAATAGGTACATAAAAGGACATAAAATGACACAAAGGACAAGCGAGGAGTAGAAAGTACAGAAAAGAGGAGTTTTGAGAAATGCGCACCACTTACAGGTCGTACACACT